CATGTACATACCACACCACATACACAATTGCATTCATATGCACACACATGCACACACGCCCATATTCACACACATATACATGCTCATATGCACACATACCCATATACACATGCACACATATACACATACATGCTCACACACCCATATGTACATACTCACACACATGTCCACACACCCCTCATATATACAAATGCACACATACGTGCACACCCCTACATGTACACATACATACAGAATTCCCCCCCGCACATGCACACACATCCATGCACCCACACACACATGCACATATGCATACACCCATACAGATAGACACATGAACACACATTCATGCATACACATATATGTACACACACCAACTCACACCCATACAGACCTACACACATACACACACATCCATACATACCCCTCCACACTCACCCATATATGTCCACATACACAGGGACATGCACACACATCTATACCCACATGCACACACACATACACGTACACCCACACCCATACAGACCGACACATGCACACATATTTATATGCACCCATTCCTAACCCCATATATGCACACATCCCCGTATACATATGCACCTACCCCTCTACACACATGTACACACACATACACATATATGTACACATGTAAGAAATGTAGCAGGCATCAGGACTTCACATTTAGATGGATAGTTGTATATAATTTTATTTTTATCTTAGAAATTTGGTTTTTTGTGTAAATGCTCCATTCAGAAAGGCTTAGACAGAGAAGAAGGGAAAAGTCTTCTGGGGAACTTCTTTTTCCCCTTTAAATATCCAGTGTTTTGTGGTGTCTTTTTGTTAACAATTAATAAGAACTTTGTTTTTAATTTTGACTTGAACATGCATAGAAATTAAAGACTAAAAAGAAGCTTTCAGATACAAACCTTAATAGATGTAAAACTTAATGTTTTTATTTTGTAGGTACTTTTTAATTTGCAGTACCCTTGAAACATTGTGGTAAATAATATTGAGAAGTAACGGGCATTTAAAAAGATTAATTCTAAGAAATAATAGGTGTATTTGAAATTACTGTGGCAAAAATCAGATGTTAAAGCAAAAAGTTATATATTCAATTTAAAAATTATACTATTAAGTGTGTAACTTCATGTGTAGTAAATATTCATATTTAATTTTAGGTGCCAGTGTTACATATACTAAAATAAAGTGGAACAATTTCTGTGGTTCTATAAAAGAATCTATAAAGGAGTCATAAATAATTATAGTAAAATTCTTTTTGAAATATTTTTATGGAACTAAAAATTGAAAACTTCCTAATAGGGAAATTTTCTTAAATGAGACATGAAATAAGTTAATGCAATATGCCCTGCTGGAGCCCCTAGTGGGCAATCACTCGTTAAGATAATTTTATGTCGTAGATAAAAACCAAGAGTTTTTGGAAAAAGCTCCTCAAAAGGTAACAGGAAGGAAAAGATGATTACCTTCAACTCCTCAGGAGATATTGATGCATTTGTGTGACCACCAGACCCTGGAAGTTCTCAACAAGCAAGCAGGCCCTTCCGAGCCCAGGGCACATGCCTGTGAGGTTTAGAAAGAGCTGCAGCTCAGGCTGCATCAAACTTTTGCAGAGTGTGTGTGTGTGTGTGTGTGTGTGTGTGTGTGTGTGTGTATGTGTGTATGAATGTGGAGGCCAGAGGTCAGCCTTGGTTGTCCTGAAACTCACTATGTAGACCAGGCTGGCGTGGGATTCACATAGATCTGCGTGCTTCTGCTCCCCCCCCCACCCCCAGTGCTAGGATTAAAGATGTGTACACCCTGCCTGCTGCCTGCCTTTTCTTTTGAGACAGGATCTCTCACTGGGACTTAGCCTTGTGGATTAAGCTAGGCAGACTGGCTAGTGAGCCCCAAGGATCCATTTATATCCTTCTTCTTAGCACTGGGATTACAAACACTATCAAGTCCAGATTTCTACTTGAGTGCTGAGGATTGAACTCAGGTTCTCATGCTGTGTGACAAGCACTTTTATCCAGTGGGTCATCTCCCCAGCCAATTTTTTAAATAAATTCTACCTCCCTACTTGTCCCTTTAGCCTAGCCAGAGGTAAACCAGTGCTTGGCGGGAGCAAAGGATACAAATCTTTCAGTGAAAAGCAGCCTGAGTTTATGGATGTTATAACTTCATTAGCATCCTCCTTTCTAAATAAATGACAGGATGAGAAATCCTTATGGTGGTGTGATGGTTATTGTTCATGGTCAGCTTGACAGAATTGAGAATTATCTAGGAGAAAGGCCTCTAGTTGTACCTGTGGGAGATTATCCTAATTGCATTCATTAAGGTGGGAAGACCCCACTATGGGTAGCACCATTCCCTGGCTGGGGTCCTGGACTGTACAGGTGGAGGAAGAGAACTGAGCACCAGCATTCATCACTCTGTTTCCTAATCATGGATGTGATGTGATCACTTGCTTCAATCTCCTGTTGCCCTGACTTCCCACGATGTACTGTGAGCCAGAATAAATCCGTTCTCCCTTAAGTTGCTATTGTCAGAGTATTTAATGAGAGTAACAAGAAAAAAAAGAGTCATCTATCAGGGAGAAGGCCTCATTCTGTCTCTGGCTGTTTCTCTGTGACCTTGGCAGGCAATGAGGGCTCAGAGAAAGGGTGTGTGGATCAAGTGAGCATCAGATTCCTTGCCTGCATTTGATCATGAATTCACAAATGTCCAAGTCTGAGAACCAAAATAGCTACAGATTGATTGGCCCACCACAAAATCAGAAATTTAGTTACAGTATTATCTTTATACAATTTTTTTCTTTGCAACTCAGTTGCGTAGCTCTCAAGCATGTAGATGACAGCATCCTGTGGAGTGTCAAAGGTTGGACTTGCCTAGTTGTCTACTTGTTCCTCTACTGACTTAGGACAGACTGAGAGCACAGATAAGGAGTGAGTGCCCCAGATTAATGAGGAGAGGAGAATTTAAATGGAAGGGGTTGGTACTATGTTTAACGGTACCTTTCCTTCTGCCCCAGTATAAAAAGAGATAGACAAAGCTCTGTGAGGCTCCCAGGGTGACAAAGAGCACAAGATATTCACTTGCCCTGGGCCAAATTTTGGTTGTCCAGCCCTCTAGGTTGTGACCACAGCTTGGTCAGATAGCCTTCTCTGGAACAGACATTATCCTGAGCTTCCCAGAGCCTCTGTTTTAATCATCTCTAGAAGTATATGCTGCTTATGCCATCTTTCTCCTAGGGCTGGTTTGGATGCATCACACCCAGCATGTGTGATCAGACTACAGGGTGCCCACCTGACCTGAGGAGGCACAGCCACAAGTTGACTGTGGATTGCTTTTGTCTGTCCAGGTCTTTGTTTTTCTTTTTTCTTTTGCATGTATGCAGGTTCACATGTGTGCACATGCATGTGGAGGCCAGAGATCAACTTCAGCTCTCATCCCTCAGGCACTGGCTACCTTGTGTTTGAGACATGGTCTCTCATTGGCCTAGAACTCACCAAGTAGGCTAAGTTGGTTGGCCAGTGAGTCCCAAGAGTCTGCTTGCTTCTCTCTCTAGCACTGGGATTACGAGAATGCATCACACCCAGCTTCTTTTTTAATATTTTTATTAATTTGAGAATTTCATATAGCATATTTTGATCAAATTCACCCCATTGATCCCCTTAAGTCCTTCTAGATTCACTCCCACCTCCCTACATTCCCCAATTCCCTGTGTTCTTTTATTTTTATTTCATTGACTACAATTTGTACTACCCATAAACACCTGAATGTGGGACCATCCACTGGAGTGGAGTTGACCTACCAGAAGCCACACCGTTTAAGAAAACTGACATTTCCCTACTCCAGAAGCCACCAACTGTCCACATCTCTTCAGTTAAGGGTGGGGACTCATAAACCTCTTCCTACTCCATGTTGGAATGTTGACTGGCTTAATCTTGTGCAGGTCTTGTCCAAGCAACCACAGCTGATATGAGTACATGAATGCAGTGGTCCTGTTATGTTCAGAAGACACTGTTCTGCTCTGGTCCTTCCTGACCTCTGGCTCTTACAATCTGTTCCCTCTTCTGAGATGGTCCCTGAGTCGTGTGTGTGTGTGTGTGTGTGTGTGTGTGTGTGTGTGTTATAGATGCCACATTTGTGACTAAGCTTACCACTAACATTTACTCTCTGCACTATGACAAGTTTTGAGTTTTTACATTAACCACCATCCACTGCAGAAGGAAACTTCTCTGATAAGGTCTGAGAGCTCCATTAATCTATAGGTAGGGAGATACAAATTTAGAAGGCATTTGATACTGTATCCATTTTTGGTTACCCCCATAACATTTATGCCACTGTTACACCCGTGAACCTTGCCACACCAGTCATTATTCATAGGGTTCACAGCTGAGTAAGATGTTGTTGACCTTTTCCCCCAAGTAGTCTGCTTAGCACCTTACAGTACTATGAGAGTTAGCCAGCAGGGAGGAAGCTTCATGATCAGTAAAGACTTAATTTCTCCATGTCCTGTGACCAATGTGTGTGTTGTCTTCAGAAATAGGGTCTTACCATCAAGTCCTGGTGGGGCAACCAAGACCTGTGGCAATAGCCTGGATTGTTTAGGGGGGTCTCAGAATAATTCTAAACAACAGTTTGAAGGGAGACATCCCACACCTGGCACTGGGCTTTTATCTGGCAACCTATGGCTTCTGGAGTGAGCATAATCCTGTGTGCAGTAACTTCAGTCAAACTCATATATATGAAACTTATAATAGGTTTCCATATGACTTTTTCAAACATCCTCAGTACTCAGCTGTTTTACCTGGGACCTGGGGTCAAACTCAGGTCCTCATGCTTACAAGGCAAGTACTTGCAAGGGTGCTAGTGAACTGACTGAGCTGTCTCTCCAGCCCATGTTTAGGTCTTTTTAAAACTCTAAACATTACTGTGTAGTTGGCCTGATGAGTTAATTCTCTATTACAAACAAGATGTTCCCTGGAGTGTCCTTGACCATGTCTGCCTCTCTGAAACAGAGCCATCACGCTGGAGAATCAGCTTGTGATCCTTGCCACAACAGCAAGTGACTCGGGGGCTTACTACGTGCAGGCTGTGAATGAGAGGAATGGAGAGAATAAGACAAGTCCTTTCATCCATCTGAGTGTAGCACGTGAGTTTTGAAATTCCAACTGATATTTCTGAAAGAAATGAAAATCTTGCATTAATTAATAACCACCATCTGGTGGGACATTTTACAATGAGTCTTCTCCCTCTGGTGTAGTTTATGGCTTAATACTGATCCATTGTTGATCGTTTAAAGAGCTTCAGAGCCATTGATTCCTTTGAATGAGCTGCAAACAAGATGAATTTTGTATTTTTAAAAATTTGTTTATTTTAATTTTATGTATATGAGTATATTACCTGTATATATGTAAGTGCACCACATGTGTGCAATGCCCATGGAGGTCAGAAGAGGGTGTTGGATCCCCTGGAACTGGAGTTCTGGATTGTTGTTAGCCTCCATGTCGGTGAACTTAGGACCCAGGAACTGAACCTGGGTCCTCTGCAAGAGCAGCCAGTGCTTTTAACCACTGAGCCATCTCTCCAGCCCCAGACGTGTATTTTTAATCGTTGGTGGTTTGTTGTTCTGTGGAATGCTGGAAAAATGTTGGGGGACCTTGGTGGAAGACAAATTTCAGAATATGATCGCATCACATGGGAGGAGGTTGTATTGATCTGACTGGGCAGTAGTGGATTTCATCTTCCTGAAAACACCTTGAGGGAGCATTTTTCTGCTTTGGGCTATTTGAAACATGCTGGCAGGGTGCTAGTGCTCGCTTTGCCTTGTATTTCAGGACAAGTGCTTACTAGGTAGGGTAGGATTCAAAGTGGAAATGTCTGTGGTAACCACTGTATGTTGACATCTTTGGATTAAGGGAGTGTGTCCTCATGTGCCTACCACATCGTGGTGAGTGATCTGTGAGACTCTGCTGTGCAGCATATAAAGTTTGTATATGTGTATGTGTGTATATGTGTATATGTATATATGTGTATATGTTTGTATATATGTATGTGTGTATATGTGTATATGTTCATATATGTGTATGTGTACCTGTATGGAGGAGGCCAGAGATTGATGTTCCCTGTCTTCCTCAACCACTCTCCACTTTTATTAAAAGTTTTGTGATGTATGGGTATGAACATTTGTGTGCAGTGTATCTGCACATGTACGGGGAACACATGCCTGTGCTCACAGGTACAGAGGCCAGAGGAGGATGCCAGCATCCTGCTCTATCACTCTCTACCTTAATCTCTTTTTAAAAATTATTTAATTTTATGTTATGAGTATGAGTGTTTTGCCTGCATATATGTAACTGCACCACATGCGTGCAATGTCTGTGGAGGCAGAAGAGGGTGTTGGATCCCCTGGAACTGGAGCTACAGATGGTTGTTAGCCACCATATGGGTGCTGGGAACTAAATCTGGGTCCTCTGCAAGAGCAGCCAGTGCTGTTAGCATTTGAGCCATCTCTCCAGTTCCTCCACCTTATTCTCTTGAGCTAGAGTCTCTCAACTGATCCTGCAGCAGGCAAGCCCCAACAGTCCTCCTGTCTCCACCCCTCCTCCCCTCCCCACAATAGCACTGGGGTTATGGATGCATTTAACCACATCCAGCTTTACTTGGGTGCTGGGGATGTGAACTCAGGTCTGCATAGTTGCACAGAAAGCACCCTGACCCCCACCCCCAGCCCTTTTCCACCTTATTTTTTGAGCCAAGGTCTCTCAACGAACCTGAAGCTCACTGATGTAGCCAGACTGACTGGTCACAGGCCCTAAGGGCTCTTCCTGTCTCTGCCTCCCCAGTGCTGGAATTACAGATCCTACTGCACTGCCCACCCTTTTTAAGTGGATTCTGGAGGATCAAACTTAAGTCCTCCTGCTTGCACAGCAAGCACTTACTGACTCAGTCATCCCTCTTGCCTCTCAGAGCCTCCTTAATTCTGAGGAACTGATTCCTTCTCCCTAGACCATACACCAGCACGTTGAGGATTAGTCAGCCCTTTTAATGCGCATCGATTAGGTGGAGAGGTCACAGAATCCCATGTGTGATGTTCTGCTATTGAAAGGACCTCCTTTGTCGAGAGCTGTCGGAGACACGAACATGACTTAGCAAGGCGGTTTCAACAGTGATAACATGGGACAGAGATCTTGTTATCACAGAACTTGTGATTATTGTTAATGATTGCTGAGTTGTACAACCAGAGGCATTTATTCTTTTCAGCAAATCTGATTTAGCACTGAATTGTGATACAAATAGGATGATAATCAAAGCCAGTAGCATTCTGGGCCATAAATAAAGAAATGGCCTCAGTCTGTTAGAAGAAGCAGGGAGGAATGATTCTGCAAAAGTTCTGGTTGGCCCGACACTTCCATCCCAGAGCTAGGAAACATCGTTGGCACTGGTTTCTTACAGGCTATTCTGACAGCCAGTAGAGAAAGAACAGTGCATTTGCAAATAGCCATCTGAACACAATACTGTAGCTGTAGCGCTAGGTAATTGGAATATGTAAATGTTTTTGCAATCCGAATGCAATACTGTGGTGTTAGATAATTGGAATATGTAAATGTTTTTGCAATAATTTCAGATCTACCCTAACCAAAAAGTATAGAGGAAGCTGCTCATAAATATTATAAATAATGGACTCATATCTCAATCCCTTGTAAAATATTATCTTTTCATTGGCATCAAGGAAAACATGTAAAGTTGAGCTGTAGTGAGGTTGGTCTATAGACTTGTCTTAGGAGGAAACCCTGCATTCTGCTCCTTTCTGTGTCTGCCTTTCGTCAAGACCAGGTTCAGTGTGGGAAGGAAGGAGGTGGAGGAAACGGCCTTTTTTAATTCTTAGGCGAACCTTTCCCTGACGCACTGGACTTAGCTAAATGTTAAATGGAACCAATTATGCATTTTTCCCAGTAGAAGTTCTATTTGGCAAACTTCTAAAGATCAGAAGTCTTGATCAATCCACAAACCCTTCTAGAATGTGTGTTTAAATTTAACTATGTGTGTGCTGAATGCCACAAGGGTGGGAGCTAAGATATGGGACTGGCAAGCAGCATCCCGTGAGGCCATGAGGACACATGGTGAGCCCATTCCCTCCTTGGATTCATTACACACCAAGCTGTTCACACTGTGGCAAGGTGTGCCGCGTCTGCAGCCTCAGGCGTTTTTTTTGTTCTTTCCTCAGGGAGGCTTTTGTGAGTATACCAAATGAGAGGGATGAAAATGTTAAAATAAAATTTAAATTTAAAAATTAAATTTTAAATTAAAGAATCGAAAGACATTACAATTATCATTTAGTGTAGATACATTCTTTCCTCTGGATGTCGGGAGAATAAGGTAGGGGACCTTCAGGCAGTGACTGTGACTGGGGTGGTCCAGTGCTGAAAATTAAATTCTGGTGAATCACACCGCAATTAATTTTAAAATGAATGATCAGGGCTGGAGAAATGGCTCAGCAGTTAAGAGTGCTACTGCCCTTCCAGAGGACCCAAGTTCAATTCCCAGCACCCATGTCAGATGCCTCACCATTGCCTGTAATTCCAACTCCAGGGGATCTGACATCCCTGGTCTCCATGGGCACTGGCACTCATGTGCATATACACAGGTGCATGCACACACACACACACAATTTAAAATAAAGTTTAAAAATGGATTATTATTGGTCCTCTCTCTTGTTCCCTCTAGGACAGCACAATGTGGGAGTGGAGGGAGGGCCAGAGCTAGCCTTGTCTCTGCATCTAAATGAGTGGTGTGTTGTCACCTGACAATAAGAGGACACAACTTTTCAGAACCCCTGTGTGTGTGTGTGTGTGTGTGTGTGTGTTCCTGTTCCTGTGTGAACACATGGAGGCCAGAGGTTGACATCAGGTGTCTTCCTCAGTCACTCTCCACCTTATTTTTAGAGACAGGAGCTCTCGCTGGACTGGAAACCACTGATTAGCTAGGCTGGCCAGCTTCTCTCTACATTCCCAGTACTGGGGTTACAGACATATGTACCCATGCCCAACTTTTTGAGGGTTCTGGAGATTTGAACTCAGGTCCTCAGGTTTGCATGACAAATACTTTCCCAATCACACCAAGGCCCGAATCCCAGTTGCTGTATATTTTCTGTACTTGAAGTTTATGGGACGCGAAAGATAAAGAATGTAAGGATAAAAATAAATTTTTAAAACACGTGAACATTAGAAGTGAAACATGGTTCCTCTAATGGGGCTCCCTGCTGTACCTGTGTGTTTTTAGTGGATGGCGTTATTATGTCTCAACATGTATCCCTGAGTATGTGGTTAGGAAGATACATTATGGCATGGGCCATGTAGGTATTCCAGTCTGGGAGGAGAGGGATCTGAACTCTCCATCCAGGCTCCCAAAGCAATCTCTCTGCCTCTCAGGGTCTGGCTGGCTTTGAAGTTCTAATGTGACAGGAATCCAGGAATCCAGCAGCTTCCAAGGACATAGTGGGACTGGGAAGCATCCCATATGAATTTTTCATCGCTGGCTCCCGCAGCTCAGGAGCACACCAGAAAAGGAATGGAGCTGAACTTGCCTGAAGGTAGACATTTCTGTTCTGAGGTCAGACCCAGGCAAGCTTTATAAACCTGTCAGCCTCCTTCGGCCTCTCGTTTTGAAGATTTTACATCGAGTTAACTTCTGTGGATCTGATCTTCCACACTGAATTAATCTGCAGATGGGAGTTTCTTCTTTTTCAAAAAGAAAAAAGCCTACAGTTAGGAGAGGAGAAGAGTTCTGCATGGCGATTAATCAATCATTGTTTAAAAGCAGTCATGCAGACTTTAGACACATCATCACTTCTGACCCAATATTCAAAATGTCCAGTGTAATGAGATTCTCCGTGAGGGATGAAGCCTAGATTAAAACAGAAAGGACTGCCTCTCTTCTTCCTGCTTTCTTCACCTCTTTCATTTTAATGTCTGCTCTTCAAACAACATTTCCAGATAGGCTATCATTTCGGCTGATCCTGCTTGAGGCTGACAAACCCCAGCTTTTAATTCTGAAGACCACTTAACATTCTTTTGTCCTCTATCATGCTAATTTAACTGCAGACCTCATAGATGGTTACTGGTTGAAAGTGGATCCCCAAGAATAATGTCT